GACTCCCTGAAATACTGTTTGCCACCTTTTCAACCAGAGAATCTGGCAAGACGGGGAAACTAATTGTAACTCGATCACCATGGCTAATGGCATGCAAACCCACTTCAAACCATGGTTGCATGTGCTGGTTAATCACGGCTTAGAACTGTTCAAATATAATGTTTAGTCACAGGTAGGAAAAAGAAATCACATGTAAATGTTTCACCACTACAGGCCACTGTAGCGCATGCCAGCAAAACAGCTGTACACATAACATGGCGGGGAGAAAGCTTAGATTGGAGCACTGCCCTCTCAAACTATAGTCAAATGAATTTCCTCCAGGTGAATTCACATACACTCTCACTAGCATTATTACCAACATGAATTCTTTATTACAGACCAATAAGATAATCTACCACAACTACAGAGGGTGAGATCATCTCAACCTTCAAGTAAAGTAAGGGTAAAGGTTCCCCTTGACAATTTGTCCAGTTGTGTCCGACTCTAGGGGGTGGAGCTCATCGCTATTTCCAACCCATAGAACTAGTGTTTGTCCGCAGACAATCCTCCGTGGTCACGTGGCCAACGTGACCAGGCACGGAACACCGTTTACCTTCCCACCGAGGTGGTACCTATTTATCTACTCGCATTTTTGCATTTTGCATGCTTTCGAACCTCTAGGTTGGTGGGAGCTGGCACAAGCGATGGGGTCCCACTCCCTCGCATGGATTCGATCTTACGACTGCAGGTCTTCTGACCTTGCAGCACAGAGGGTTCGGTGGTTTAACCCGCAGCGCCACCACGTCCCTTCAAGCAAATCCAACCAAAGATTGTAAAGAATGCACAAGAACTATGGCTAAGTTAGATTAGCCTTCCCATCTGACCACTAGAACAGCCCCAATATTATCCCAATGTCAATAGCTTTCTTTGTTTAGCCAACTCCACACTCAGATACTCCATTATCCCAAAACAGTCTTCTCCATCTGTGTCTCATCAAAGGACAAGCCAAGTGCACAAATAAAGCAGAGGAAGCCTGTGCATGCAAGAAAATGCACTGGTACCCAGGTTATCCACTTACCCCATTCAGACTTCCCAGATCCTTCACCCAGTGCTCATCCTTCTCATTGTCATAGTTGATGACAGCATGCTGCTTATCCACACTGCGAGACTGGAGACAAAAGGAAAATTATGAGTATATCACGTGGAACTTACAAAGCAAGAAATGGTTTCTATAATTGCAGCAAAAGAACAAGTGCAAACTTGACATATGAACAAATACAGATCCCTGCTTTCATTGTAAGCGCCCATTTTGTTTATCAGAACTGACAAGTAATACACTTGGCCGCCACCTCCACCCAGCTAGAACTGAGAAAAATATCTTTTTTTAGACTTCAGCTGCAGAAGCAAAGCTCCCCAGGTCTCTCCACAGCACTACATATTGTATTTACTAAATCTATACCTAATCTTAGCATCTATTATATTATATTAGTTTACCCCGGTTTATAGAAAACAGCAGAGGCAGCAGGAAAACCATGTCTATGCTGCACTGTTTTGGCTGCTTGCATGATTGTGAAATGCTCTTTTACTTTTTAAAACAAAGAAATGAAGTGGAATGAAAAGCAGAATGGATGATCCCACGTACATCATTTCCAGGAAGCCCTTCTGTAGGCTCCAAAGCACCAGTATAATATATTCATGAAGCTTTCAAAGGGAAGATACAGGTGCACAGTAATTTACCTTCCAAATTTGTCTGATCAGCCATCAATAAAGATGGGCCAAAGTGGCGTTTTGTGCTGGTTTGTTTATTGGTTGAAAAGGTGTTCAGCACTTCCCAGCCCTGCGTCCTCTGGCAGGCACCCACTCAGAGGCAGTGGCCAAAGGAGGCGGGGCAGGGAAGCAGGGTGCTTCCTCTGAGTCGGCATGCCTGCCAGAGGAGGCAGGGCTGGAAAGCGCCAAAACCTGCTGAACCAATGGAAAAACTGGCACTAATCACTGAACCGGCAGTTCGTGTCCATTTCTATCTATTATTTATTTTTAAAATATATTTGTACACTGCCTTTCTCTTTTAAAAGGACCCCAAGATCCCTAGTCATCAGAGTGCATTAAATTGAATGTATCACAAGATTCCCCCTCATGAAAAGCCCTGTTTCAAAAGTTATCATATCATATCATATCATGAATAACCTTGAAATGACAATCACAACGAAAACTGGTTTCTATCTAACATTACTGGATGCCTGTTCATAACACAGGCTTTCTTCTAAAGACCTACAACAATCACACACACACACACATACCACACACTCTCTGGAGTCTGGCAGAAGACAATCCGCACCTCATTCATGAGCAGAAATTAGCCAGCACAACTTACACAATTTTCCTAACACAAATGTACATTGTCAGCAGGATTTTGGCTGACAAGAAAGCACAAAATTCATGGAGAAAGGGTTCCTGGAAGGGGGCAGGCTTTGGATAAATTTGGCACTTTTGCATTACCAGTCTTTTTCCTAAGTTTTTTTGACATAATGATGCAAAACCTTAAAGTAAGCAACTGGCACTTCCTTAGTGCATGGGCTTTTGAAAAGATAAGCATTAGATGGGTTCTTTGCATCTGTGTGAGCAGTGAGCCTGTCTTTTTTTCCTTTTGCGCTTCTTCTGTATATGTACTTGTGTGCTCACAAACCTGCACTTAATTTCAAAAAAGGGAAAAGACACTACGAGAGTAATTTACCTTTTTTGGGTCACAGATCCCTCACGAGAGCTATGGACTCCCTCCCAGAAAATAAACACGTACATTAGTCCTGTTTTTGCACCAAGTGCATGGACCGCCCTAAAGCCCATCCAGCTTTCCTATTCTTTGGCAGTCTCCTATTTAAATAACGCCCTGGCCTAACTCTGCTTTACTTCCAAAAACAAGCAAGATCAGTCTCTTCAGGATGAACTTGTGGTCATGAAACAGAACAGAAAAGATCCTAACCTCAAGATTTGAAGGAGAGTACTTGTATTTGTTTGTTGAAGCATTTAACTTATATGCTGCCCACACTACCCTAAGGTCTCTGAGTGGCTTACAACATTTAAAATACAATAAAAAGGCAAAATAAACGGGCAAAATAATTAAAATGCAATTAAAAATATAACATGTGTGTTGCTGAGATGGTTTAAGTGAGGAAGCAAACTGAATTCAACCTAATCTTAATGTGAAATTGTGAGCATCATACTGATTGGATTATGTATAGAGGCCAAGGAAAAGGAAGTAACTGGATCTGTCCCGCATGACACAGAGGCTGGACAGGGGGCAAAATAAAGATGTTGAAACATCAGAAGATGTTGAAACAGATCTTGTCAGGGATGATTTACTGTAGCTATGGGCTCCATGCAACAGTATGAGGTTGGACTAGACTACCGTTGGAGTCTCTTCAAACTCTACAATTCTATATTATTCTATGTATTAAAATCTTTGAATTATGCTTTTCTGAATGATCTCTAAGGCAAATGGCAACTACAAATTACAGCAATGCACAAGACAAGACACTGGCACAAAACAAAGTGAAAGAGCGCTGTGTTAAGTCTGTAACAGAGCCACTTCCTTCAGCTACTTTTGCCACCTACAAACATGTCTCAGCTCACATCTAGGGAATCATCAAGCTACAGTTTACAAGTTACAGACACACAGGCAACGCAAATCCTGTGCAGGTTTACTCAGAAGAAAGACTCCTTCAGTTGAAGATGGCTGACTTCCTAGTAAATGGATTCAAGATTGCAACCACAAAGACACTTGAGTGGGGGGGGGGCGGATCCATTTTCCATAAAATCTCCTTTTTTTCAGCAGTGGCTGTGACTAACACTGGATGTTCTGGCACTAGCTTAAAATGCTTGGAGCATCGACTGGGCATGTGCAAACTCCACAGGTCTGGGAGCCTTTCCAGGTCTAAATACAGCACTCAAAGCAGACGTGTTACTGAATTTCTGGCAAGGAAAAATGTGGCAGGATTTTAGCTTGCTCCCTGCTCCAAGCATCTAACCTAAATGTACAGGGAACAATATATATA